TATGGGGAACAGAGAAAGGCTGTAGGTGGAATATGGGGTATGGGGAGACTGTTAGGTTTGGGTGAAGGAAGAGCCCTGACAAGGAAGCCACGCCATGTGGACTCTATCTAAAATGGATCATCGTTCTTCTCATGAGTTGTAAGTCAATATGATTCTAGGCTGCATCAATGGAAGTATAGTGTCTAGATCGAGGGAAGGGGTGTCATGTTGAGGATGGAGCAAGCTTGTTTTGTGGTGCTCCAGAGGAAGGGACTGGGAGCAATGGATGCAAACTAGAAGAAAAGAGACTCCAACTCAATATTAGGAAGACCTTCCTGACAGTTAGAGCTGTTTGACAGTGGAACACACTCTTTCCTCGGAGAGTGGTAGAGTCTCCTTTGGAGGTTTTTAAACAGAGGCTGGATGGTCATCTGTCAGGGGCACTTTGATTGTGAGTTCCTGCATGGCAGAAGAGGGTTGGAATGGATGGCCCCTGTGGTCTCTTCCAACTCTATGATTCTATGAGGTCCGAAGAAGGTGCCCACCCAGCCATGATCATATGGCTGGGCACCTTGTTCTGACCTCAAAGTGCATGACATCTTTTCAACAACTGCCCTGCATCAAGATGGAGGATCTTCTTGTAACATCCAGAGCAGGTGTAGGCAACCTTTCCCCTTTAAGGGCCGAGGGACTTCAGCTCCCAGAAGCCTCAGCCATGTTGGCCTATAATAGTCCCATGTTGGCCAATATCTCCTGGGATTCTGGGAACTGAAGTCCCTCGGCCCTTAAAGGGGAAAGCTTGCCTACCCCTGATCCAGAGCAAACAAGGCGTTATTTTACTACGTTTCAAGAGGGGCGTCCCCTGGTTCTGGTGCTGAATGGGCACCGCTGTCTGGTCTGTTTGCACCAGAACCTGGGTTTGGGCCATGCGTTGTCCTCTCTGCCCTCCAAGAGGAGGCTGTTTTATTTGGCCCATGCAAACAGGGCCTCGGGTGTTACTCAAAGCTGGCTCTCTCAGCACCTTGGACAGATCCTTTAAAGGGGATCTGCCACTGCTCTGCCTTGAGAGGTCACCAGTGGAGAGTTGCATGCGGCACAGGCCTTTGCTCTCTCCCTGCCCTTGTGCATTGTTGCCCATTTGCTTTCAGGGAGACTCGGGGGGTCCCCTGACTTGCTGGGACCCTGCGTCAGAGCGGTATGAGCTCTATGGGATCACATCGTGGGGCGACGGCTGTGGAGAGCGTGGGAAGCCCGGCGTCTACACCCGCGTTGCTGCCTTCACAGATTGGATACGACAGCAGATGGAAAGTGAGTGCAACGGACGGCGGAGGAACCCATGGAGCGTGCTTCTCTTCCTCCCCATCAGGAGACAGGACAAAGAGGATGTCAGTTGCAGATGGAAAACCGCTAGGCCACTACAGGTTGCGCCAAGCTGGGAAGCATTAGCAATAGCAATAGCACTTACATTTCTATACCTCTGGGGCTGAGAGAGTGTGACTTGTCCAAGGTCAACTAGTGTGTTTCATGGCTGAGCAGGGGAGCGAACCCTGGTCTTCAGGGTTGTACTCCAACACTCTAACCACTACACCACACTGGCTTCCTCCATTGTCCAATATACTGTTTTCAAAAAAGCGACCCTTGGGATTTTTTTGTTAGTATATTGTTTTTCCGTTGCTCTGCTATCTCGATGACCACCAAAGTGGCAGCCATGACAGGGTATTCATGGAGCCCTGGTGGCACAGTGGCTAAATGATGGTCCTGCCACCACAAGGTTGTGAGTTCGATCCCACAGGGCTCCAGGATGACTCAGATTTCCATCCTTTTGTAGGTCGGTAAAATGAGTAGTACCCAGTTTGTTGGGAGCAATTGGCTTACAGATTGCAAACTGCTTACAGAATCTTTAGTTCTCACTATGAAGAAGTATAGAGATGTTGCTATTGCTATTGCTACTCCAGTGAAACTCCAAATGGTGGCATTTGGCTACCTGGGCTCTAGGGTCTGGATCCACCTGCCCTACACCTCCATGTGGGCCAGACTGGGTAAGAAAGCCACCTTGTGCTCTGTCCTCTGTGAGTTGCACTTCTCCTCGCCAGGGGACATGGTGCCAGCCACCCGCCCTTCCCATTCCCTGCTGTTAATGCTCCATTTGTCGTCCTCCGCACCCAGAATCGCCATCCAGCCGGGAGCCCACCTGCTTCGAGTTGCTGGCCTTGGCCCAGCTGCCTCCTGAAAAGCAGCAAGCGGAGCTCAGCCACTTGTGTGCCTTCTATGCCCAGCTCTGCTCCCCTTCTGCCAGCCCAGCAGTTTGTGCCCATGCTGCAGACGAGAAATGCAAGACAAAGAGGCAGCAGTGTGGTAAGTGCTGCGGGAAGGGTTGGCTCCGAGGAAGCTGAGCAAGAATTGCCTGGGTCCTAAACTACACAGTCAAAGTACAGTCAGGTCTCAACATTTGCAGATTTGACTTTTCCAGGTTTTTGACATATTTCATAGAATCATAGAATCATAGAGTTGGAAGAGAACACTAGGGCCATCCATTCCAACCCCATTCTGCCATGCAGGAACTCACAATCAAAGCATCCCCAACAGATGGCCATCCAGCCTCTGCTTAAAGACCTCCAAAGAAGGACACTCCATCACTCTCCAAGGCAGCATATTCCACTGTTAAGTAGTTCTTACTATCAGGAAGTTCCTCCTAAGGTTGAGGTGGAATCTCTTTTCCTATAGCTTGCACCCATCATTCCGGGTCCTATTCTCTGGAGCAGCAGAAAACAAGTTTGCTCCCTCCTCAA